GTTGATTGATGCTATATTCAGGACCTTGACTCTAGAGTTGTGTAAACGAATTTTTGTAATTGTTTAGTCCAGTCTTCAGGAAGTTCGCGCTATATATATATATATGTCTATATTTCTTTAGACAGATATATATATATTTATATATATATATCTGTCTATATATCTGAGATGAGGTATTATGTACACTATTTACATTATTTGTCCTCATTTGCCGTATTTGGTTGGAATGTCGAATTTATTTCGCTCGCTGGGTTAGACAGTTCTAGTTCCACGTACCATGTGCAATTGATTAATTTACCTCTCCACTGCAGGTATTGAACTCACAACTCTTTGGGTCCTGTCACTGCCTTTATCCATTGCGCCATGTGTCCTTAAAGACATGTGTGTATGAATTTCTGGGACTTATACTTAATGTCTTCAGCAACCATTTTTTTTTTTACCAATGCTCATATAGCAATTTTTTACCAGAGCTCATATTGAAATTTTCTTTGTTATTATTGCTTGAAGAAGGCCGGAGCGTACAATGGCCGAAACGTTGTGATAAATATGGCAACAAAAAGACAATAATCCAAAGGATGTAAATAATATAAATAATATATATATATATATATATATATATATATATATATATATATATATATATATATTACATTTTTAATAATGAGAAAGACCCAGGCTAATTTCAAAATTAATTTTTACAATTATTAAATCAACCGTATATTTTTATAAAAAAAAAAGAAGGCATTTATCTCCACGTAATGAAACTTCAGAAAACACGTCGTTTCAAAAGACATTATTTTTTAACTTGTTTACTAAGGCTATTATACTTTCTAATGCTTTTAGTTTTACTGTTGTATATGGCTAAATACTGAGTATCAAAGCATATCTGTACATTTGGATACGTTTAACTTTGGACGTTATCGTCCTTAATTAGTATTTATATAGCTTCGCCCACAGCCATCCATTTCAGTAGGATTAATATAGAATAGAATTGGAGTGTGTTAAGGATATGTAATATTTTCGATTGGAAAATTGTGCCGTGGGAATGGCATCAGAATTACGCACATGATAAGCAGGAAAGACACATTAATGGCTTCGCGGTTACTAAGGTGATGGTAGTAAAAAGTGTTTGTGTTTTAGGGACGTCTTAAAAGCGTTTGGCGCACTTGTTTCACTTGATTGATTCATTAGTACTTGCAAAACAAGTACTAATGAATGAATCAATCCATTTTCCCAAGATATAAGCACAAGACTAGCGGAAGTAGACACGTATGAACAGAGAGAAATAAATAGATGTGGGATGGAAACATTTGGAGGAAACATACATTTTTTACTTCTACCGGAATCAATTGTATCTATTTGCTTTTAGAAAGACAATCTAAAATGTCTTGCAACTTATGGAAGTGTGCGTTTACATTTACATATTCAGAAAATAGACATCAAATACAAAGAGTTAAAAAACGAATAATAATTATCAAAGCCATATTTGCATATTTAGTACGTGACAATTCAGAAATCTCAGAAAGAGAAAAGGGGGGAGGAGAAATAAAACAGTAGGAAATGGGAGGGTGGAGAGAGAAAACAAAAGTAGAAAGCAGGGGGTTAGTAGATGAAGAAACGATGAGAAAGAAGCACTCACATTGAGAGAGAAAATGAAATTTAGTAGTCAGAAATGGAACTGATGGTACAGAAAGAGAAATATTGGGAAAGGCAACAAACAGAGAAGGAGGGGAGAGAGAGAAAAAAATGGAAGGAGGAGTGTAGCTTGCCGAGATCGAAGACGATGGAAACCCTGGCAGGCGCCTATTACCAGTACCAAGCAACTTCAGCGAAGTTTTTTTTTTTTTTTTTTTAATAAATAAATAAATAAATAAATAAATAAACAAACAAACAAATAAATGAAAATAAAAACAGAATGAAAGAAAGCAACAAAATAAAACTGCAAAGACGAAATTGGCCAATCAGCTTGTAGCTCTTGTGTGCCGACATTTTCCAAGACAGAAGAGACGCCCAATCGATATGGGAATTTTAAATAGAGTCGTCATCGCATGAAAGATCGATTTGAAAAATGACTGCTTCTACACTTGCTTTTTTTCTCTTTTCTCTCTAGCCTCTCAGTTTTTCTGTCAAATGGAGGTTGGGGCGCCGCTTTCTCTTTCAAGTACAAGACAACAGTACAACTACTACACGTGCAGATCGCGCGCGAACGCTCGGGGCCCTGTAATATGGATTTCATCATACACACACGCATATGCACGCACACTGCGATATTCAAAAGAAACTACTTCGAAAAATGTATTTTTATCTTTAAAATTAAGATAAAAATTCAAATATAAAATAAATAAAATTGAAATTTGTACTGAATGTCTCCTGATTTTAATTATAAATAATTTAAAAAATTACTACATCCAGAAAAAGAAGATAACATTTTTAACAGTTCAATAAAGAATTTTAATATGTGCAATAGAATATGAGTCTGGCGCAAGGCGACAATAGTGAGCACCTTGAACACCTAACAATTAGCGAATTAGACAAGCTTCATAATCGTACCGCGGAGAGCGCTGAGTTTAATTCCATTACTTCCCCTCATTTGGCATATAAGCTTGGTACTATAATACAAGGCCACAAGTAAGGGCGCTTGCCGGGAGGGGGAAGCAAAAAAAAAAAAAAAAAAGTCATAAATGAAATTGAAAATGATTAATAATGTTATGGCACGATCATGAATTTTGCTTAATTCGCTAGTGTTAGAAATTTGATCCTTACAGGTGCTCACTATTATCGCTTTATGCCAGTCTGTCATCATTTTAATGTAGGCATTTAAATTCTCAATGGGACTGTTATATTATTAGTTATTTATCTTCTTTTTCTTGAAGTCGTAATTTGAAATAATTGTACTTCAAATCTGAAGACATTCAATGCAAATTACAGCCTTATGTTAGGTTAGAATTTTTCTCTTAATTTTAAAGATTTAAAATGTAATTCTGTGGCTCTTTTATACGCGGGTCCGGTTTATGAGCCTTTTAAAAAAAAAAAAAAAAAAAAGGCGCATGGTATTACCGTATATATTTCATGTATAGTGTGACACTTGTTTTGTTTTTTGGTTTTTTTTTTTTTTTGCATGAATTTTAACCCCTCCAGAAAAATTTACCTGTGTATATAGTGCAACTCGTCACAAAAATGCATGAATTTTAACCTCTTCAAAAAATTACCTGTGTATAGTGCGAGCCCCTTTTTTTGCATTTAAAAAAACTGATCATAAAATACTATACTCTATTATATACGGTGTATAACATGCAAAATTTAGATGCTACGTAGGTAATGTTTCTTAACACGAATTTACTTAAAAGTAAAATTGTCATCCAACTTGTAATTAACTAGCAAAATTCAACGATTTTGCGAGTCACTTTTAATTTAATCAAAACAGCAATTTAAAAAATATATCAGTAAGACAACAAGAAAGTTGGTTGTTTAATTTTTCGACATCTGAACTATTACTGGATTTAATGTAATTTTTTTTTTTTAATAGGCTACTCATACCCACTACCTACAGTGTGAATTGAACTCACTACTTAGTTATAATGACTAACCAGACGGGTCTCGTTAACATTACTTCTCGCTGAGGCACCCAGAAGGGCAGACAGAATTATTCGACTTATTGCAATCGCCGATTTCATTTTTATTTTATTCCTGTCCAACAAATAGAAAACGTGGCCATGTGAAATTATCAAGAGGTACAGGAAGAGACCGGATAATTTTGGTTTACAAACATGCGATAAAATGGTTCGAACTATCTCCTAGTATTCCATTTTTTATACTGGGATTTTTTTTTAATCAATTTACCCCAAGGCAATAGTGACACTAAGACGCAAAGAGCTACTGAGAGTGAAAAAGAATGAAAAAACTTTAAGGAACCGGAAACCCAATCCTAAACAGGGAACAAAGGATAAACCTCTAGTCCTGTTCAAAAAATTAAATTTAAAATTAAGAGTAAGAAAGGATTACATATTGCTATAAAAAGAAAATAAATCTAACGAAAAAGATATAAATCAATTCTACGATATGAAAGAACGTGACTTTTATATATTTATCGGTCACACAGTCACCTCACTCTCCTTAATAAATAGATTTCGTTGTTATGAAGCAAATATGCTTCGTGTCGCCTTAGGAAAGGAATACCTTGGGTTATTCAATGTCGAATAAAAGTCTTATAAGACGAAAATCACAATGAATGAATCGATAATTAGATACAGGTCTGGTTTAGACTTGAGTCAAAAAGGCAGACATTGGCTGGGTTTATACCCAACTCTGCGAGTATCCACCCGAATGCAACCCACCTTTTTGGGGAGGTGTCTTACTCTTCTACAGGGGATGTAGTAATTGTATTCTAAATCCCACCGAGAGGACATCTAAGGAATACTCCATTGAGTCATTAGTAAATAAGAGAGATGTGACAGCTAATAGCCTGCATTTTTATGTTTTACGTTCCCTTTCTCTGGATATTTTTTTAATGATTTGGAAAAAGAATTCTTTCTTTTATGCGATAATTGTGAAGATAAAAGAGTTAACTGTAAAAACAAAAACCCAAGATTCACTCATGCAGTATAAGCAATGCAACTGGAAAAATTGCTTAAATATAGTCGTCATTTTTTGTTGGGTAAATTAGTATAGAATAACGAATAGTGCATATTTTCTTATTTCTCTGTCGATAAATTATGTCACACTAAAGCAATTTGATTCGTTTTTATACGGCTGCAGGTTTTTTTAAAGCCAGAAAATATTTTTAGATTGTAAGAATCGTTTTTTTTTTTTTAGATAATAATGGTTTTAGTGATACAAGTCTTACTAATTAACCCATAGCTGGGGGAAGAAGTGGTGGATTCATACCTTTTCCAATGATATTAGAGTGTAAGTGAATATAATGAAGGTAAGTGAAATTGGAACTCGGCTCTTCGTTTAACAATTTCGAGCCATTGTCCATTACACCACTCGCACATTCAAGGTTACAGAACCTGGTATTCCCAAGCGAACACCCATTTAGGTACTGACTACGTTCGACGCTGCTTAACTTCGGTGATCGCACGGAAACCGATGTTTCAAAACTATATGGTCGTAAACCCACAGTAAAGCAAGTAGACATAAAATTAACAAGTAAACCCTGCTACGATTCGAACGTGTGTCCAGAAATGAAAGCGTTCTGCTGCTTGAAAAGCAGGGTAAAATTAATTTGAAAATATTGTTAGGCTGAGCGCACAGATACTACGCTGATCCTACGCAGAGGAGTGACAATCTGATCTGAAGTAGAAATGATGATTCAAACAAAAGTCATTTTTGACGGATACTATGCTAGTTGTTAAATCACTAAACGCTCAGTAAAGACGAACGACCTTTTCAGCTTACGGTTCATCGAATGTGAATCGAGTTAGTTTCTTCATCAATTCTAAGTGGGTAGCTTAAGTTGGCATGTGAAGTGAAAAACCGAGGCGGTAGAAAGTCTCTTATATGATTAACTATTGTGTAAAGTGGAAGAAGCTACTGATTCCGTAACACGAATATGGTCAGGTGTCACGCTGTCACGCACGTGTGAAGATGGTGACGGGGGAGGCGCCGGGAGGCAGGCGCTAAATGCAAAGACATGTGCTGCTACTTGGAGGTTTATATAACATTTTTAGTTAATGCTGAATAAATCAACATAATGTTCCTCATTTCCTACCCAATTCTGAAACTGATTTTTATCACTTCATCATCATCATCATCATCATCATGTAATGAATTAATATATCCCTCCTACTGTCTGAATTTCTGGGATAAAGAGTTATCGTTATTTACAGTATTTACTTTCGGATTGTTGCCATCATCTTTGTTGGTTCATGAATTTGGTGATACAGTGTAACCCGGATATAAGAGAGTTGTCGGGACCGGAGAAGAAGTCTCTTATATTCGGGTTTCTCTTATATCCGGGTTTGGTCTATTTTGTTTAGGTAACACAGGCTCTAATATGGGACCAGAGAAAATCTCTCTTATATCCGGGTTACACTGTATAGTGATTGTGAGTTCGATTCCTTGGTCGGTCGGTGTGTATTTGTACTCAATGAAAACAGGGCGAGTAATAACTGAGCAATAGTAAAAATAAGAACTAGACAAGATATCCCTAAACATGAGCAGTCGAACGAAAAGTCTACTCCCGTAGATTAAATAAAGAGTTCAGTTCAGAATTCCCTGTAGGTTACCCGAATCGATATATACCTGATGAAGGCCGAAGGACAGAACGGCCGAAACATTGTGATAACAACAAAGGTGAAAACAATACTCCAAAAGTTAATAGTGTAAATAATATATCCCTGTTTTATTTTTTTGTTTATTTTTATCTATCTCATTTTGCACATGTGCTTGTCCCGGTAAATTTAACACCAACAAATTGTAGGGTTTACAAATCCTTTTCGAATTGGGCATTTAAAAGTCAGTTTTCTCTCGTAAATATTTTTTTTGAAAAACGATGAAACTGACATGGCACAATAAATCTCTTTGATAATTGTTTATAAGGCCGAAGGAACTCGGACGTTGAAAAATTATATTTAAACATTCACAGGAAACAAGGAAAATGGCCAAAATATAAAATAAATAAATAAAAAAAATATCTTTAAAGAACTTTCGTGGGTTTCTAACCAAATTTGTGTGTTTGTGTATGGTAGACGAAATAGAAAATCTATTTATTGACAACGTGTTTTCACTTCGTTAGGTATGCGTCTTCAGATCTGAAACGCGTTGTCAATAAATAAGTTTTACACTGACTGATTTCTTTATTTTTGTTCGGATTCTATATCCTACGAACATACAAATCTAGACCGAAATTTAATATATATATATATATATATATATATATGTGTGTGTGTGTGTGTGTGTGTACGCAGCATTTTTTCATTGATACATGTTTCATTAAATGATATAGACAAGTGTTGTCTATTTATTTTATGTAAATTCTTTTCATATCGTCTGATAAGCTTAATAACATTATCATTAAACAAAGAAAGAAAATCACAATATTGATACATATTTTTTAATCCTATCTAAGCTTTCGGCTTACATAAGCCAGTATCAAAACACAACAATACTTAAACATGAAAACAATAAACAAAAACTAAAAATTCTTGAAGCTATATACATAAAACAGTTGAAACCTAACCTGAAAAAAATAAACTATGAAATTTCCACTAATATTCTGAAATGCCTATAATTGGTAACAGAAGCCATTGGTTTATACCAACGGATTCCCATACTTAATACTTCTTGAATTCAATCTCGCGTGGTCAATGTGTGACGTCATGAGCTGCGGGGCGATTTTCGCTTCCAGCGTCTTATATGCACGATTTTGTCGTTGCTTGGAAATATTCCATGTAAACAGAAACAGACTATCATCACTGGCTTGTCCGCGTATTGCTTAATATATTGTAATGTGATTGTCATCTTTGATAATGGCTCATGTAAGCCGAAAGCTTAGATAGGATTAAAAAATATGTATCAATATTGTGATTTACTTTCTTCTTTTAATGGTAATGTTATTAAGCTTATCAGACGATATGAAAAGAATTTACATAAAATAAATAGACAACACTTGTCTATATTATTTAATGAAATATATATATATATATATATATATATATATATATATTCAAAAGATGCTTCATTGAATAATATAGACATATGTCTATTTATTTTATAACAATCCTTTCTAGTTCTCTAATCAGTTTTTTGATGTTAAGATAAAATTCATCAAGAATGCACCATAGTTTTTTTCTTACCCAAGTATTTTCGATCTCCTCCGAGATCATCTTCAGGGGTGAATTACAAAGACAAACCTATCGTAACTGTGATCATTGTGATGGTCATTTTTAAAACTACGCATGAACGCGCTCTGTTATAAAAAGTGTTCCAGTAGCTTGCACCGATTTTAAACTTAATTCACTTTAAAATCGGTCCAAGTTATTGGAACACATTTTAATTATTTTAAATGTCTTCGTTGTAACACTAGTTGACTGAGACGAGTTATTGTGCATGATTAGGTTGGTTGTGTTAAATTTAGTATAATATATAATTAGTACTATTTTTTTATTTTTTTATTTACAGATATCACATGGGAATATATTAATACTTATGAGAGTTTTTTTAATCTTGTTTATAGTTAGAATGCATTTGATTATAATATAGTGGGTTAATGTTTAAAGTTATGTGACTAAGTATTATGTTCTTTTTAATTTATGATAATATTTCTAATTTGTTCATCAACAATGTAATTAGAAGTCATTATCAATGAGATTTTGTTTAATGTTTTTTAATTCAGTGTAGAAATCTTTTTTTGGTGAAAGAGTTACCTTTTGCACGGTTTATTAAATTTTGTAAAATAGTTATTTTGAAATAGGGCATTCACTTTTATAGTTTAGAGTGCACATGTTTATCTATCAATACATCAAGAAAAAGAGTTTTATCATTATTGTTACATATATGAGAGACAGAGAATTCATGGCTAGATTTTGGGTGATGAGGACTGATCATTTTATATATTTAAAATTTGCTATATTTATGGGGGATGATTGCTTAATATCGGGGATACAGCGTTTATAGCTATAAACAGTGTGGATATAGAAATCGATACTGCATTGTGAGTGAAAGTTTCATGCTTAAAACGATCATTAGGCACGACATTGACAGTCGCCGTGCAGTGTCGATATGTATGCCATCAATTTTAAATTGTATTCTTAAAGGAACAAAATAACAATGGTTTGTGAATCCTACTATTTTTAAGAAAGGTGTGAAATAAAATTTAAAAATTAAGTTAACAAAAAAAAATTAGGAATAGATAGAATATATGTCCGAAATACATGAACTGATTGCAATAAGATTAATTATATCAAATTCACGCTATTTGACGGCTAACAAAAAGACTCGTCCCAATTTCTGAAGGGAGTCTTCATTAAAAATATTCAAAGGAAAACATTAGCTTACAAGAAGAGATCTCACCTTCATGTGAAGATTAATTGTAAGGCGTTTGTTTTGTAAAAATAAAAGAAGAAAATGTTTTAGATGATGTCAAATACGGCAATTCGGATATCTGACGGGAATTACGTTCCTATGATGATTTTTCTTAAAGGAAAATTATTAATTTCTATGGGAGAGTAATGTACGAAGGAAGAGCTGTAATCGGAGATGCGGTGATGTTTTCAGACAGAAAATTTCATGATTTTTTCCCTTTTCCTTTCAGAAATATTTGCTTGTGTATTGCAAAGAATAATAGAGAGAAGAATAGAAAAAGAAAAGAAAATAAGAAATATCAAGAGAAAAATAGAAAGAGAAATAAAAAGAGAAAATGAGAGAGAGAGAGAGAAAATATAGCAAAAAAGAAAAACAAAAGAAAAAAAGGGTTAAATCATAAATTTTCATTTTTACAGTATGACTAATTATTATACAAATTAGCTTAGTATGACACAAGGCCACGGCACTGCAGTATCCAGTGAAGCCGGAATTAATCATACTGCGAGATTGTGCTGACTAATCATAGCCCTCTCGGCAGAAACCAGCTTTCCTTTTTACTATTAACTTCATCTTATTCATTTACTTTTTATACTATCGTCCTCCTAATACAAAGCCCAAGAGTCACTCATGGTAGAGGGTTACAGAATGGAGTTATTTTATGGACGTAAGAATTGGAGATTAGGATATATAACGGTTGATAATAAACTTCAATAGGTTGACTTTTTCTTAAATTGTTCTTATTACCCTTTTTGTTTGGAATGTTTTTCGTGGCTTAATCAAGTGACATAATTCTTTTTTTTTTTTTTTGGTGGGGGCACCTTTACCTTTTAATTCAATCTTGGATTACATTAATATCACGTAGCAAAAATACATTTTGAAGCGCATATTTTTAGTTTAATAATAGTTAAAAATATATATTTCTTTACTTAAAAATATATCACGCAAAGAAGATTCTTCTTTCGCTATGTTCATATCAGAAGACCTAACTCCCTAACTTCAAGCTATAGCATCATTAAAGTTATCTAACAATATTGTCCTTGCGTCACCTCATCAGAACTTGGAAACAGGTTAATTTTTTTTTTTTACTG